AGATGAATGTCTGGAAGATTAATTCATAGAATTAATCTAGCTATTAAAATTTGATTAAAAAGTATTACTTGTCTTCCGATATGTTGAACAAGAAGTGTTTTTTTGTGTGATTAAAATCTTATACTGTCAGTGAAGATAGGCATTAAGTCAACTGTTTGTAGCCCACTCAGTGTCTGGCTAATATAAAAAAAAAAAAATTTGATTTTTATTTTTGAAACTGCTACACATACATGTACATAGTAACAACCACGGGTCTAAAAAATTAATTTCTGAGTTTCCAAAAGTATACCACTTGCCACTGTAATTGAGCTCAAACTCATGTCTTTACAAGGCAGGACTTAAGATATCAAAAAGTGAGAAGTCTAGGATAAAAGGAAAAAAAATTGAAGTAGAAAAAAATCAACCAATTTTGATAAATCATCAGGTATTTTCACCGAATGTTGGTGCCTAGATCATGAGGGTGGTTCCCATGGCAACAATGCCTCTGTGGTCTCTTTTTCACCCAGGAGCAGAGGCTGGCGTGCCAATGACTCGAGACAAATGTGCATCGTGCTCCCTCATGCACACGAGATACCCACATCCAAACACAGGCTTGACTGAATGCGATGGTTAACATTTCACATAGAAGCCCAACGGATCATCCTGCCTCATTAATTAACTGCCCCTTGAAAAAAAAAGGTCTGATTGTAATCAACTTTTAGGATATCCATACATCCAAGATCCTACCTTTTATCACTGTGCCCTAGAACATGTATTTCACACTTTGTGTTACAGTATTCACACTGCAAATCCCACCGAGTTGTATATTGGCCAGGAATATGTACATTTATACACATTAATCTGTATATTGGACCCAGTGGTTTAATTTGTACATAGTGCCCCAAAATACTTTGTGCCCATGGCATGGATTCCACAAATTACTTCTTAGTATATTTGTTGATTATTTCTAATTTCAAGATATAACATCTCTTCACATGAGGTTCAAAATTCCACAATAAATGCATTGTAAACCACACATAGAAATATAATTTCTATTTTACCACCAAAACAGCTGTTATTGCAATTATTCTAAAGTCTGTGCTGTTTGCCATCAGATCATTTGGTTTTTCATGGATGGCTATATGATTAAGAGATTATTACAAAAATCACAATTAGAAAAAAAAAAACAATAGAAGGCTTACTTTGAATGTCGGAACGGANTTTAGTTGAGATATATATAATATATAGAGAGAGAGAGAGGGGGGGGGGAATAAAAAACCCTCTCAAGATCATAAGACTGGTCACAGTTTGATGCCCAGAACCAGAACTCTGAGAACGGCTGGCAGCGTTTGCAGCCAGAGCATTGATCCTTGCAGCTTTCTTTGGCAATTTTTCATTAACGCCTTCAAAGATGGAGTCACGCTTGTATTAACTTGATGAAGGGTCTTGTTTGGAAATGTCATGCTTGATTCCATAGAAGGCTTTGAGTGTAATTTCCAATGGTTTCTCGTGAGAGGGGAGAAGGCAGATACAGGCAGGCCTTGGCTTTTCATTATTGGATTTTTCTTGACAGATTTGGCGTATGTTGACAGATTGTCATTTTAGTTATCAGAAAATAGGACTTCTTAACCCACTGATGCAAGGATTAGAAAAGTGTGCTCTCTTTAGAAATTGTATCTGGACAAATATCCAGATATAAAATATATGAAAGAACTAGACGAAAGGAATTAATGTTTAAAGTATAAAAGAGAAATTGATTCAAGATAATAAATGGATGAACAGATATACACTCTCAGTTTCTGTAATGACAGACGTCTGCATGTTGAACTTGATGCATTAATACACAATTCTGAAGGTTTATTTTATAAAAGTCTCTTTTATGTTGTTGTTGTTATTATTATTATTATTATTTTTTTTTTTTATTATTGATAACAAAAATGACAGAAAATTGCTGACATCTACCAACAATGAAAAGTCAACACTTGTACATGCTTCCCCTCTCTTTTTTCTTGTCATTAAAATCTTTGTATTTTCTCAAAACCTGTTACGCAGTACACTGGCATCTGTGTCCACCTATTTTTTTTCCACACTATGTATTAATTGTCTAATGATGGTAGGATTCAGTGATTTGATGGTGGATAAATTACATCTGATTTTGGAAATACAGCACTACATGATATGTTTTCGGAATCACATCAGTTTTTTTTTTCTTTTCTGATATAAAATAGAAGGTTTTTCATTGATTTATGAATGAAAGATGCACAGTAAAAGATTTTCCTTACAAAAAAACTCATACTTTAGACAACTACCAGAGGTATTTTCTCTGACTAACCAACCTTTGTCCATCCTTTCCTGACACTTGCCATCCGTAACAATTTGGGGAAATTAAAAAAAAAGTAAATCCTTAACCTACATTGTTCATCCTATCCTGACACTTGTCATTCTTAACAATTTGGGAAAATTCATGAAAAAAAAAAAAAATGAAAATCCTTAACCCACATTTAAGCAATGTTTTTTTTTTTTTTTTTTCAAATTCTGCCATCCTTTAGAGTTCAAAGCTCAAACTAACTTGCAGATTGCGCACCATGCAAAACTTTGTCATCAGGAGGATATAAATTTAGATGAATGTCTGGAAGATTAATTCATAGAATTAATCTAGCTATTAAAATTTGATTAAAAAGTATTACTTGTCTTCCGATATGTTGAACAAGAAGTGTTTTTTTGTGTGATTAAAATCTTATACTAGCTGTCAGTGAAGATAGGCATTAAGTCAACTGTTTGTAGCCCACTCAGTGTCTGGCTAACATAAAAGAAAAAATATTTGATTATTATTTTTGAAACTGCTACACATACATGTAACAACCACGGGTCTAAAAATTTAATTTCTGAGTTTCCAAAAGTATACCACTTGCCACTGTAATTGAGCTCAAACTCATGTCTTTACAAGGCAGGACTTAAGATATCAAAAAGTGAGAAGTCTAGGATAAAAGGAAAAAAATATTGAAGTAGAAAAAATCAACTAATTTTGATAAATCATCAGGTATTTTCACCGAATGTTGGTGCCTAGATCATGAGGGTGGTTCCCATGGCAACAGTGCCTCTGTGGTCTCTTTTTCACCCAGGAGCAGAGGCTGGCGTGCCAATGACTCGAGACAAATGTGCATCGTGCTCTCTCATGCACACGAGATACCCACATCCAAACACAGGCTTGACTGAATGCGATGGTTAACATTTCACATAGAAGCCCAATGGATCATCCTGCCTCATTAATTAACTGCCCCTTGAAAAAAAGGTCTGATTGTAATCAACTTTTAGGATATCCATACATCCAAGGTCCTACCTTTTATCACTGTGCCCTAGAACATGTATTTCACACTTTGTGTTACAGTATTCACACTGCAAATCCCACCGAGTTGTATATTGGCCAGGAATATGTACATTTATACACATGAATCTGTATATTGGACCCAGTGGTTTAATTTGTACATAGTGTCCCCAAAATACTTTGTGCCCATGGCATGGATTCCACAAATTACTTCTTAGTATATTTGTTGATTATTTCTAATTTCAAGATATAACATCTCTTCATATGAGGTTCAAAATTCCACAATAAATGCATTGTAAACCACACATAGAAATATAATTTCTATTTTACCACCAAAACAGCTGTTATTGCAATTATTCTAAAGTCTGTGCTGTTTGCCATCAGATCATTTGGTTTTTCATGGATGGCTTTAGAGATTAAGAGATTATTACAAAAATCACAATTAGGAAAAAAAAACAATAGAAGGCTTACTTTGAATGTCGGAACAGATTCATTAACCATTAGAAAGTAAGAGAAAATTGTTGTTCACCCTGGTAAACTCTGTTGAGGAGTTGTCATCCCTTTAATATAGAGGCCCTAAAAATGGATAGTTAAATTTGTCCAGGGAGGGCTGTGGAGCAACTGTTATCTGGTTATGGGGTATTACCCAGCAATAGAACTTTATGCCAAAATTAACGTCTGATTTCATCCAGTGTTACAGTTGTCTTGTTAATGTCTGACGTCCCCCCTGTATTAGAGTTAAAGGTTTATTGCCCAGTAACACATCAGGCTTTTGATTTTAGTGATTATTATTTTTTTTGTGGTTTTTATTTTGTACATGTGCCTCTTAGTGAGATCTAATTTGTTTTTGTTGGAAAGAGTTCTTGGTTTTGAAACGGCTTGAATACTACCTGGTGCATGCGTGCTGTTCAAGTTGTTTACCGAAGGTGTGAATGAGAAAAATTACTGGTGAACAAGAAATTCATAGGACATGTTTCTGTTTACGTGTGATTTGCTTGGTTAGGAAGCAAATGATGAGAAGCCCTCCCCTCCCCCCCCCCAAAAAAAAAAAATAGTGAGAAAGAGGGAGAGAATGAGGGCAGTGTATAAATCCATAGTAAAAAAAAAATTACCCACCACAAAGATGAAAATTGAATCTTGTTGATCAGTACAGTACAAAAAATAATGAAAGAAAAAGAAAATACGAGAGATAGGAGAGAGAGAAGGAAATATGGTATAGTGTGTACCCATATAGTCTAAAAAATGAAAAAAAAAACTCATAAAAATGTTAAGAGAGAGAGAGAGAAATAGTAGGTTGAATCCTGTGGGTCATTTTTACACCTGTTTTTATTTACACTTTGTTAATGGCGCTACCTGATAACGGAGTCTTGGGGGAAAATTTCCTCAGTCGCTCAAGGTAGGATGTGGAGCAGGCGCAATTTAGAAAAAGACACTGACCGAGAAATTCTTTGCACAGACGCAGTTAATCACAGAAGTTATTCATCTGTTAAAATATGCGTCCATGTAAAATAACTCCCACCCCCAAAAGAGCCCCATTTTTCCCACCCACACCCCTTTTCTGGCCTCAAATCATAGATCAAGTTTTACATGACACATTCCCTGTTATCATGTGTGACCATTTTATATTGTGTCAAAGTATCCCTCTAATCCCTAGCACCTTTAATCAGCCTTGGGTTTTGTCCTGAATTTTGTGTGAGATAACAGCACGTGGAAATCAATGGGTCGTGCAGTGAAGGTCTGCAAAGGCCACGGATGAGGTTTTTTCTGATATTGTTGTTGTGAAATGAAAACCAGGAAACGGTGGGTGTCATGGTGATGTCATGCATGGAATTGAGGGACATTGCGTATTTTTTTAATCTTAGGGAGCACTGTTAGTGCCCACTGTTGTCACTGGTAAGTCTGGATTGTTTTATCAGAAAGTACTGAGTGTTGATTATATTCTCTTTGTGTTAGAAGGCTTTTTAATATTGAATTACAGATTGTAGCAGTGGAGCTGAACTTGGTTAGAGTTCATTCATGCATAAAGATATTTATACAAACCTAGAGATGTTATGTGACTGTGGTGATATATATACTATATTCAGGTAAGGGGTTGTTTTCAGTGAAATGCAAGTACTTTTTTTCAGTATGTATGTCAAATAATTTACTAGCTGCCATCCTCTTGGGATATATGACTTAAATTGAACACCTCTCAGATGTTCAAGGTGTTCCCTATTTTTTCTTTCTTTTTTCTTTCTTTCTTTTTTTTTTTTTCTGCACAGTTCCTCATATTGTACATTTAAGATGCACACACAACATATATATTTGATAAATAGAAGTTTGATATATTTTATACCAGATCTTACACTGTATTAGTACTATAGTACTATATCAGTAAAGGTTGAGGTCTCTGATTAAAGTCTGTTAATTAACAGGTTTCAGGCCAGTTTCTCTTTACTAGAAACTTAGTGAACACCCCATTAACACCAGTCATTTCTTAACGAAGCTTTGTAAAACTGTGTCCAGAAGAGGTGGAGTGATAATATAATTTTCCAGAAAGGCTGACTGAAATATTAACAATTTAAGTCTGTAATTAGTACGTAGGTTAGTTATCCGGTTGTATTTTGCAGATCTGAAAGTAGGCAATTAAGACAGTGACCCTTGTTTAGCATATGTATAGGGGTTATTTGTATATCAGATCATTTTTCACGAATTCCTTAGTGGACATTTATTTGATTGATGATTAAAACTATTTTCTGAAATATTAACAGTAATCATTTTTAATTTCTATGTAACTTAATTAGCCTGTTGTATTTTGAAGATCTGAAAGTAGGCAATTAAGAAAGTGCACTACATTAAGCAAGAATAAAGCTTAAATGTTTATATACATTTTTTTTACTAATTCCTAAATCAACATTAATATGATTTTTTTGATTAATTACACAAGTCTCTTATTAGTGTCTGTATATTTGCCAGTTTTGCTGTTTAGTCTTATATAAGTGTCTGTCCACTGCCATTTTTTCATGAATGAATAAATCATCTGAGTGAATAATAATGAAGCTTGACAACTTCATTATAATGAATCATTGAATAAAATTTCACATTTTAGTTGAATAAAGATAAATAAGATAATTTTATGTACAGACCAGGACTGATTCGTAGGATTAATATACAGATCAATTATCATGATTGGTTTAGTTTTGATAAAGTTACGGTAATTCTTCTATGATGTTTGAGATGACACGATTTTTTGGATATTTTTAATTTCCCCGCAAATGGAATTTTTTCCAATTCATAAGATTTGATTCATTACAACTTTGCACTATTATAATTAAAAAAAAATTTGATATTAAGTATGGATTGAAGAAAACCCTATTTTGGGCACTGGTGTCATAATGATGATTAAAGGAAAACCATGTTACTTATGATTCTCAAACTAAAAAGATTTGTAGGACTGAACTGCAGCTTAAATAGGAAAACCAGTATGATTACTTTTTCTTGCAGAAGCAATGCAGATTTTGTGAAATTTTCATTTTTTCACATATTTGCATTTTCAATATGGGCCTTAGAACTCCCACGGGCATAAAGCAGAATGGTATTCAAATTTTCTAAATGTCCATGTTATGTATAGAAGATAAATAATAATTGTTGGTAATTATGCTGTTAATTATTATGTACCAGTAATATTGCATCATGATTGACTAAAACTACTTTGTGCACTGCCATCACAAATGTTATGAAAAGAAAACTGTCTTACTTATTATTTTGTTATCAATTCTTAGGATTGAAATACAGCTCAAATTGAAAAACCACCTAAATGGATTATCATTTTTTCTTGAATTAATTTTTTTTCTCATTCTGGCATTTTTATAGTGTGAACTTGAACTCTCATGGGCCTGAAGCCTTTTGCTAGTTACACATTTTACTTATATATCCGCTTTACCTGTTAATTCAAAATTTGGTGTTGACTTTGCAGTTAAGCATAATGTATTGACAGAAGTTTATTTTGTGCATTTGACAGCTTTTCTACCTTGTTTAATGATTAAGATATGGTAAAAATGATAAGTTTAAACATTCTTTGTTGTTGTTTGTTTAAACATATGAAAACTTTGCAAAGATAATATGCATAAAGAATTAATACAGGTACTTAATACAAGGGTAGTTTGATACGTGATTATCTTTTGTACAGTAAAGTCATTAGGTCATCATAAACTTCCTTAGTGGTAAAGATATTTTAAAGAACTATGATAATTAAAACAATTATATGAGCTGCCATCCTTAGTATTGGTTGAGAAGGACCTTACTGTGGCAGTTAATGACTCCAATTAATGTTTTCGAGAATCTCAGGACTCTCGAGTGCACATTCACACCATTCTTATTAGATTTTATCTGAATCAATCCATTGGTTTTTTTTCTGGTTCTTTCTGAGCAGGCCATGTCAATTGCAGTTATGATAGATGTGTGAGGCATTCTTTTAACCCAAACACACTCAGTAGAAATTTGATTGCTGGGATGACTTGCTGCATGTTCACTGGCTTACTTGCAAGCAACAGTACTTTGCAGAACTCAGTTTTATGTGCAGTGATCTGAATACTCAAAGTTTGAATGCGCACTGGTTGTTTTGTAATGTGGGGATGTGACAACGGTGGACTGCGTATGTAACTTCCCGTTGGCACGCAACGGTTTGTGCCAAGATCTCCGTGTTAATTAATGGTGTGAATCTAAAAACCACACACGGGGTGTGGCAGTCAGTGAAGAAGCAGCATTTACCAGGTACTGTATTAGTTTTTTCTTTTCAGGTTGAATCTGGCAACCATTTTAGTTTTAAAAAAATAGTGTTTTGATTAACTTAAAACTTCATTGGTTGATGGTATCTCACGGGAGCCTTTTTTAAGATTATGTGCGAAGAAAATTCAAAGTATTTATTCTGGATGACTTAAGTTCAAAGCTTAGTTGATGAATCATGAGTAAAAAACAGTTTTCAAATATGCCTTACTGTTTTGGCAGATTTGTTCATTATTATTATTTTAATTATTAATATTAATTATTTGGATTATCATACCAACTTGGTTTGAGAATAAGAGAAACTGGTTGTTTAATTTTAGAAAAAGCTCTCTCTCCCTCTTGAGGATCTCTCTGTATTTCTCTCTCTCTCTCTCTCTCTTTCATGCATGCAAGCACACACGCTTACAAGTATACAGACATTTACAGAGGTGAATGAACAGTATGAACCTACAGCTATTTTCAACTCTTAAAATTTTCACTAGCGGAGTAAATGATGAAATCAACATGATGCATTTTTTTTTTCGGATAAAAAAGAGGCTCCTATGGGCCATGGTAAGACCAGTCAACCTAGTGACAGTGTTATCTTTCAGCCCCAGTGACCAGTTTGCCCTTCTCAGTTCCGCCTCACAGATTAGATCACTCACAGCGCCACTGAAAGGTTGAGGACAAACTGGAGCTTTTATCAGCCATGTCATAAACGGTGCTGTTATCGAGGGCCCGGTCTTTAGCTTGTATCTGTACGCTTGGATTCATCTGAACTGAATTTGAGAACGAACATTACCTAATGGTGTATTCAAACTGAGAGATAAATCTGCCTCTCTCTTTTTTTAATCACTCTTCTCTCTCTTTTTTACTCTATCTCTCTTTCTCTCCCCCCCTCTCTCTCTCTCTCTCTCTCTCTCTCTCTCTCTCTCTCATTTTCCTCCCCCCCCCCCCGATATCACTTAATGAGCTTGCTGAGCTGAAATTTGGTCTTTAGTTTAAGACTGAAAATATAAGCGTATTTTGATCTAGCTAGGGTAAATCTCCAGTAATTTAACGAGGGGTTGTTCCCACTGAAGCAATTGTTCTATGTAGCTAGACCAATCCAGCTCCATGGGGACTGTCACTTAATCTATCAGATTAACAGGTTAACAGAGATTAACACACCTCCTCTTGGAGTTGAGTTGATTATAGAAAAACTGGTGATTATAGGAGTACATTGGACACACTTGGATTCTGTAAAAGTCTGTTATTTTATTTATAATTGAAGTTCATAAATAACTCAGTAAAAACATTCTAGAGCCAGGAAGCAAGTTTATAAATTCTTTTCTGGCTCAGGGCATCAGATTGTAATCAAGCTATTGGATAAATAACAGCATGTCATTCATTTACTGTAAAGGTCATTCAGTGGTCATTAGTGATATCAGCATGCTTGGATACATCTGAAGTACTTCGGGGACTTTTGAATGTACTGGAAGCCATTTATACAACAAAAGGCGCTAACTTTCACGGGATATCTTTACAGACAAAGTTGGTCAAAAAGTATTCAGAATGTGTATGAAGTTTGCATTTTCTACATCTACGTATCCTGCAAAGCTACTTTTTTATTTTATCTTTCCTAATTCAGACATTAAAAAATGAAAAATAAACCCTCGATTGAAGATATTTCCTTTTGAAGAAGACACTGAGTCTCAAATGCCAGATATTAAGAACTAAAGTATTTAATAAGAAATGGTGAAAAATATTGAATCCAAGTGCAGAAATGTAAATTGTATTTTCCTTGAGGAAAATTTCATTTGGCGTGAAAATCTCAGATAGAAAACCTTTTGGACAAGATGCTGTAGTCTACTTTTGTCCAAGTTAAATCAATTTTTGAAATGGAACAGGACAGGACAATTGTTTTAATAATCTGAAGGGAATAAAGCTAGTTTTTCTCTTCATAAATGAAAATTTTGTATTTAATGTAGTTATGATTCAGAATCTGAATAAAAAAAGGCAAAAATGACAATTTATGTTTAAGACTTGTGTTCACTTTATTTCGGTGGGCTTCTCTGGATTTATACCACAACTGAAAAAGATTGAAACTATCAGTATTTTAAAAAGTTAGGATCATCTTGTTCTACCACAGTAGTGTACATGTTTCCTTGTTTGTACAGAACATGTCTTATATTTAATTCTCTATTTGCCATTTATTTATTCTTTTTTGCAGTGCCTGAAGTCCTGCTAGTCTGATGTTTCTGATGAATTTTTGACATATCTCCGATTGCTGTGGTCAGAAGTTTGATCAAAATAAGGTGGGTAAATGGTCTGG